TGTGGCAATCATTAACTTCAAAAAAATTGATGTGGCAATCATTAACTTCAAAGAAATTGATGTGGCACTCATAACTTCAAAGAAATTAATGTGGCAATCATAACTTCTAAGTAATATTAGTGTCAGGTTTCGATGTCATCTCAAATAAATTGCACTCCCAAACAATTAATCTTTGCTGAAATATTCCATTTGTTGAGTACAACAGATCTAGCCCTGACTTCGTCGTAGCCGATACTAACCCTCTGACCCCCAACCCCTTCCCTTTCCATTCCCCAATTCTCATTTTCTCATTGGCCATCTTCCAAGTCAGTCTCCCCAGCTTCTGACCTCACCCCACAGGAATGTTCCCCCCACCATCCCATCTCCTAGGGATGTGATGGCGAACCTATGGCACGCATGCCACAAGTGGCACGCGGAGCCATATTAGTGGGCACGCCAGCTCAGCTCTGGGGTGTATGCGCGCACCGGCCAGCTGATTTTTGGGCCTTCTGGGCCCACCAGAAGTAGGGAAACAGGCTGTTTCCTGCCTCTGGAGGGCCTGCGGGGGTGGGGAAGGCCCGTTTTTCTTTCTCACCTGGCTCCAGATCTTCTCTGTGTATCTGGGAATGGCGAAAACAGCCTTTCCCACTCCCTTGGAGGCCCTACGGAGGCTGAAAGGGCCCATTTCCCCACTCCCGGTGGGACAGGAAGTGACGTTTTTTCCTGTCCCCATCCTCCAGAGACTCCTAGAGAGGCTCCTAGAGACTCCTAGAGAGGCTCCTAGAGACTCCTAGAGAGGTTCTGGAGGCTGGGGACAGCAAAAATTTCACTTCCTGTCCCACTGGGAGTTGGGAAATGGGCCCTTTCAGCCTCCGTAGGGCCTCCAAGGGAGTGGGAAAGGCTGTTTTCACCGTTCCCAGATACACAGAGAGGATTTGGAACCAGATAAGAAAGAAAAACGGGCCTACCAGGCCATCATGTGCCAGGAGCGGGGGGGAGGGGGGAGGGGGTTGCACACACATGTGCATGGGCACGTGCACGTGCGACCCTCCCCGCCCCCCCTCTCCTGGCACGCGATGGCAAAAAGGTTAGCCATCCCTGTCCTAGGGGATATTATCTACAGAGAAATAAGTAGGTGAAAAGTCAAGCCTCGTCTTTTTTTGGCAGCATCAGAATGCTGACAATTAGGGGAACTGGCCTGGAATGGGAGAGTGACACAGATCCTGCACGCCCTTCTGCATTTGTGCCTTCATACTGACAGTCACATTCAGCAACAGAAGGCAAGGATTCACACCTTAATCAGAAGACATCTGGAAGGGACCCTGGAAGTCTTCTAGTCCAGCCCCCTCCTCAAGCAGGAAACCCTATACCGGTGGTGGAATTCAATTTTTTTTTCTACCGGTTCTGTGGGCGTGGCTTGGTGGATGTGGCGTGGCGTAGCTTGGTGAGTGTGGCTTGGTGGGTGTGGCAGGGGAAGGATACTACAAAATCCCCATTCCCTCTCCACTCCTGGGGGAAGGATACTGCAAAATCTCCATTTCCACCCCACTCCTGGGGCCAGCCAGAGATGGTATTTGCCCGTTCTCCGAACTACTCAAAATTTCCGCTACCGGTTCTCCAGAACCTGTCAGAACTTGCTGACTTTCACCCCTGCCCTATACAATTTCAGACAGGTCCAATCTTTTCTTAAAATCCTCCAGTGATGAAGGACCCACAACTTCCGAAGGTAAGTTGTTCCACTGGTTAATTGTCCTCACTGCTAGGAAGTTTCTCCTTAATTCCAGGTTGCTTCCCTCCTTGATTAGTTTCCATCCGTTGTTTCTCATCTTGCCTTCTGGTGCTTTGGAAAATAAATTGACCCCCCCCATCCTCTTTCTGGCAGCCCCTCAAATACTGGAATACTATCCTGTCATCCCTAATTCTTCTTTTCTCTAGATTAACCATACCGATTCCTGCAATGGTTCTTCATATGTTTTCAAGGTGGAGGAGGTGGAGGTGATTTTGATGGCACAACCAGCTTCAAAGCCCAGAAACTTTCCTACGGAAGAATAGAATAGAATAGAATTCTTGTTCTGTCCCCGTCCCACACACGCACCTCCACAGACGGCCTGGAGTTAATAAGCCACACGACAAAATCTTTGAAGATAAAGCTGGCAGCAACCCAGTGGCTAGCTGCCAATTCAGACTTTACTCACACAAAACAAAGATTAGACTGCAAGCATTCTGATAAAGCAGGCAAAGTTTCAACAATACAAGGATTAGTCCAAATGCAGTCCGACAAGGCAGGCAGAAGTCCAGTAACGCAGAGATCATGGATTATTTCTAGTTTTTGCTCGTCACAGACTGAACCGGCCACCACATCCACATTTATACCCTGTGGGGTGTGGTCCAGTGACTCAGATAATCTCTGGCACGCCTTCCCCTCTGCTGCACACGCTTCTCCCTGTGCCGCTGCCGAGGATCCAGCCAGCACTTATCTACTTCGTCGCTGTCCACCTGTGGCTGCGGGGACGTGCTTGGCTCTGGGCCTATCTCTTGGCCTTCAGTGTCCTCCGGAGGCATTGCCAGAGAGGAGGGTCCTGGAGAGGGAGGCCTTGCCAACTCCTCTCCCTCACTCTCAGAGTCTGCATCTGTTGATAGCCCAGGCTCAGGCAATGGAACCACAACAATTCTTTATTGGCCAAGTGTGATTCGACACACAAAGAATTTGTCTTTGGTGCATATGCTGTCAGTAGATAAAGAAAAAATAAAATATATTCATCAAGAATCATAAGATACAACTCTTAGTGATAATCATAGGATACTAATAAGCAATCAAATCATACTAGGAAACAATAAAAACAATAGAAGTTGTAAAGATACAAGCAACATGGATATAACCATAGGTGGGAAGAGATAGGTACTAGGAAGAATGAGAAGAAGAATAGTAGTGCAGACTTAGTGAATAGTTTGACAGTGTTGAGGGAATTATTTGTTTAGCAGAGTGATGGCGTTCGGGAAAAAACTGTTCTTGTGTCTAGTTGTTCTGGGGTGCAGTGCTCTATAGCGTCGTTTTGAGGGTAGGATGTACAAGTTGTGAATTGGGGGCCCTTGCCATGGAGGCCCTTGCCCTTGGAGGAAGACTTCAGCCAATGTCAACCAGTTGACCTACCTTAGAGGGTTGTCATGAGAGGAATGAAAAAATATTTCTTCTGCAGAGACAGAATTTAATCAAGGATTCTTAGCTTGCAAAGAGACAGACCTGCATCTTACCGGCATCAGAGGAGAGACATAAATAAACATGATAATGAAATCTTTTAAGAAAGTAACCATGTTCAACAGATCCCTGCCAAACATGGATTGTGTCTGTGTGTTTCTGTGTCCACGCATGTCCATCCAGTAGCTTGTGCATGAATCTCTTGGTTGAACAAGAGGCTCCATCTTAAACTAACCAGGCTCGGAGAGCAGACAAAGTTACTCCTTGCTGTGAACCCAGAAAGAAAAGAGAGGATCTGAAGGTGAGGCTCACCCAGTGGTAAAATCTAAAATTTGTTATTACCGGTTCTGTGGGAGTGGCTTGGTGGGGGGGGGGGTAATGTGACTGGGTGGGCGTGGCCAATTTTTTTTTTTTACTTTTAAAACCATTTTTTCTACAACCTCTTCAGCGAGGTTGTGCCTCCAAAGAAGTTGTAGAAAAAATGCTTTTAAAAGCCTTTGACGATCCCAGCTGAGCTGCACGATCATCAGAGGCTTTTTTTTTTTACTTTTAAAAGCATTTTTTTTGGCCGAAGAGGTTGTAGAAAAAATGCTTTTAAAACGGGGGATGGGGCAGGGATTTTTGCTACCGGTTCTCCGAACCACCCGCCTCCATCGGGCAATCCCGTCTGTACCGGAAGCATTTCACCCCTGGGCTCACCCTACAGACTGACAATTTCCAGAGTCACCAGCAATTGGAGGGTCCCCCTAATGTCCTTGGCCTTCTTCATCGGTAGAAATACAGAGCCATGAAAGGAAGGCAGAAGCTCCCTCCCCTTCTCCACAGCCATGGCCTTATTCTCACTCTGTACATGCTCAGTGGAAGGCTGATCAGAGCAGGAGATAGTTCAAGCCTTGGGGGGAAAAAACCCATTACCTCTTACTCCTACTTTGCTCAGCACGGGAAGTGTAAAAGCACCATCATTAATCCTTTATCATTTGTCCGCCATAATAACAACGATCATAACCTGATAACCTGAATTTATTATTTTCAGGTGAAGGATTCCCCAGAAGAGCCACTGAAACCAATCTCAGTTCATTGCAGGAAAACTATCGAGTTGTGAAGCTTCCTGAAGATTCAGGTCTTTGCAGGAGAATAAAAGGAAAGAGGGAATCCATTCATGCATTCTTCTGCGTTTTGCACCCCTGACCTTTTCCTATAGAAAGATGCGTCTTCGCCTTGGAGGTCCCCCAAGTGCCTTTGAGCGTTTTCATCCAGAGCGAAGATCATTTGGGGGTTTCCGATCTCCGCCTGATCACACCGCTGCGAGGGGGCAGTGTGGGGTCTGAAAGGGACCCCCTCCCCAGGGCCGGATTTTCCTATAGGCTAACTAGGCTTCAGCCTAGGGCCTCAAGATCAAGAGGGGCCTACATTCAAATTGTTAGCAAAATTAAAATTACACTTTCACTATAGGTGAAAGGGCCTCATAAGTGGAATAGCCTAGCGCCTCTTTTCATCTAAATCCGGCCCTGCCCCTCCCCCCCACTGCCTGCGCCCAGATAACTCCCCCGCTATTTTGACCCCCGCAGATCTGCCCCTTCCCCCATGATCGTCCCCTCCCCCCATGATGAAGAATTCCTGGAATGAGATGTTGCTGAATGTGTTGATTCTTGCGAAACTCTCGCTTCCCTTTTCCAGCTTTTCTCAGAAGTTTTCCCCTCCTCCGCCTGCCTAGCAACCAGAGACGTCATGGAAATGGTTTTTTCCCTATTGGTTGAGCTTGGCCAATCCCCAGCTCGCTTTGGATTATTACGCTATGGATCGTCCCGAAGCGCCTCTTTCTTTCGCCTGGGACTTTTCAGGAGAGCGCAGCGCAGGCGGAGGTTTCGGGACAGAGGATGGCTCTGCGCTCTGCGCCCCTGTGGCTCCTGGTGTTGGAGGTGGTCGCTCTGCAGCACGTGTGCCTCGGTGAGTCCCTTCCAAGAGTCCCTAGAAAGAGACTCTGGAAAGAGTGCAGAGAAGAGCAACAGAGATGATTAGGGGACTGGAAGCTAAAACATATGAAGAAGGGTTGCAGGAACTGGGTATGTCTAGTTTGATGAAAAGAAGTACTAGGGGAGACATGATAGCAGTCTTCCAATATCTCAGGGGCTGCCAGAAAGAAGTGGGAGTCAAGCTATCCCCCAAATCACCCGAGGGCAGGACAAGAAGCAATGGGTGGAAACTAAGCAAGGAGAGAAGCAGCTTAGAACTAAGGAGAAATTAGTTGCTTAAGATGCTGCAATGGTTGTCAGTGTGAAAATGGTCGTAAGTCACATTTTGGATTGGCCGTCTGCTTTTAATAATTGTAACATATACAGAATACCTCAGTTATGGGGCAAGGGTAAAATAATAAAAAGTTTAAAGCAAAAGATTCAGGGGCTGCCACAAAGAAGAGGGAGCCAAGCTACTCTCCAGAGCACCTGGGGGCAGGACAAGAAGCAATGGGTGGAAACTAATCAAGGAGAGAAGCAACCTAGAACTAAGGAGAAATTTCCTGACAGTTAGAACAATTAATCGGTGAAAAGACTTGCTTTTAGTTGCTTAAGATGCTGCAATATATGGTGGTCATGTCCCAAAGCTAAAAAATTCTGGAACAATATAAAAATGCAACTGGAACAAATAATAACTCAAAAGGTGTCATTAAAGCCAGAAACTTATTTATTAGGAATACCTACAAGCAAATATGAAAAAGAAATAATATATTTAATAACACACATTTTGACTGCAGCAAGAATTATATATGCACAAAATTGGAAACAAGAAGAGGTCCCGACTCAAGGGAAATTGAAGGAGCCTTGGTAGTACAGTGGTTTAATGCACCCTGTTATTAACACAGCTGCCTGCAATTTCTGCAGGTTCGAATCTTACCAGGCTCAAGGTTGACTCAGCCTTCCATCCTTTCTAAGGTAGGTAAATTGAGGACCCAGTTTGTGGGGGCAATAAGCTGACTTTGTATAAATATACAAAAGTATGAAGGCTATTGCTTAACGCATTGTAAGCCGCCCTGAGTCTCCGGAGAAGGGCGGCATATAAATCAAATTAAAAAAAAAATTAATATCCAAAATTATGGAATGCGCTGAGATGGATAAACTTACCAAGGAGATCCAAGGAAAAGAAGAATCTGAATATTATCTGGTCTGGCAAAAATGGTATAAATGGTTAGAGGGAAGTGAAAAAAAAAGAGAAGAAGAAAGAAAGAAAAAATGAATAAAAGAAAAGGTATCAATAGAGTAAAATAAATTTTTAAATCAAATGAAATTTAAGAAAGAGACACGAGATATCAATAAAATAATATCATTATATAAGGTGAGAAAAATATTGTATATTGAAGAATATAGGATATTGATATTGTAACAATTCAGATATTATAGGTAGATGTTATAAAGATGATGTTTGTTGTAAATTGTTTTACTTGCATTTATAAATGTATTATGTGGTTTCTTAAATTAATAAAAATTTTAAAAATTTTTTAAAAAAAGATGCTGCAATGGTTGTCAGTGTGAAAATGGTCGTAAGTCACATTTTGGATTGGCCATCTGCTTTGAATAATTGTAACATATACAGAAAACCTCAGTTATGGGGCAAGGGTAAATTAATAAAAATTTTAAAGCAAAAGATTCAGGGGCTGCCACAAAGAAGAGGGAGCCAAGCTATTCTCCAAAGCACCTGAGGGCAGGACAAGAAGCAACGAGTGGAAACTAATCAAGGAGAGAAGCAACTTAGAACTAAGGAGAAATTTCCTGACAGGGAGAACAATTAACCAGTGGGACAACTTGCCTCCAGAAGTTGTGAATGCTCCAGCACTGGAAGTTTTTAAGAAGAGGTTGGTCAACCATTTGTCTGAAGTGGTGTAGGGTTTCCTGTCTAGGGTTGGACTAGAAGACCTCCAAGGTCCCTTCCAACTCTGTTATTCTATTCTATTCTATTCTATTCTATTCTATTCTATTCTATTCTATTCTATTCTATTCTATTCTATTCTATTCTATTCTATTCCATTCCATTCCATTCCATTCCATTCCATTCCGTTCCGTTCCGTTCCCTTTCAAGATGTAAGGGGCTCAACCCCCTTTCCTGCTGGTGGGAATTCGTCCGTCCGTCCATCTGCGTGCCTGTCTGCCTCGCTGTCTGCCTGCTAGTCTTCTATCTTCTGTCTGCCTGTCTGTCTCTCTCCCTCTTTGCTGCTGCTCTCTCGCCTACTCCCGATCTCCCCGAGCCATTCTAGGAGCAGGACAAGATGGCCACTCCAGATGTCAGTCAAGTTTACCTGCCCAATTCTTTCCGTCCCACTGTGGAGGTTGTGGGATGGCAACGCTCGGATGCGACCACCTCAACTAGCAAACTTCCTGGCTGCATGTGCAACTCCCACCCTCACCACTAGGGGCACTTCTACCATTAATAAGGCATAACCATAGTCGCCCCCACTTGGACAAAAAAAGGATAAAAGTTTTTTCTTCCTGGTGGGGAAAAAATCCCACCAAGGATTCTCTTTTTAAAAAAATTCTAAGTGTTATTAAAGTTGATTATAAGATACAATGCAAATAGAAACAAGAGATAGAGAAAAAGGAGGAGTGCAAAAGATAAGAAAAAAAAAAAGACCTGACATTTTTCAGTACAGCAGAGTACAAGAAAAGTTGCAATCTCAGCCTTTTGCATTACATTTCTAATTATTTCAAACCAGTTCTGCAACAGCAAAGTCAAGCTAATACAGATAGTCCTCGACTTAACAATGTTTTATTTAGTGACCGTTCAAAGTTACATTGGTACTGAAAAAAGTGATGTATGACCATTTTTCACTCTTATAACCAGTGGTGGGTTGCTCCCGGTTCGCACCGATTCGCAAGAACCGGTAGTAAAAAAATTTAATAGTTCGGAGAACCGGTAATAAGATTGGCTGGCCATGCCTGCAAACCAGTTCCCTTACGCTTACCCCACCCACTCCCAATCTATCCCTGGTCGCCGTTCGCTTACCCCACCCACTCCTAATCTATTGCTGCCTCCTGAGTCCCAGCTGATGGCTAGAGGGAAAAAAACTGTTTAAACTCTTGCCGCGGGGCTTCAAAGGGCCGCCCTACAGCTGATCAGTGTTAAAAGAAAACAAATGAGTAGACCGGTGCCTGCAAAAATAGAAAAAACAGCCCCTTTCGGCTTCAGCAGAGGTTAATTAGCACAAGTTGATTAGATCGGCCTCCCGACTCTCAGCTGATTTGCTCTCAGCTGTTTTGCGTAGGGCTCTGCTGCTAGCTGCAAAGAGTGCTGGATCAGATTTTTTCCCCCTAGCTATGCTGAAAAACGAAACTGAAAGTAAAGCAGGGTCTTTGCGACAACATGACAAAATGAGGCAGAGAGAGATTTCTTTTTCTTTTTCCTCACCAAAAAAGGTAGGTGCAAAACTGCAAACAATGGGAAATTTAGGGCAAAAGAGGAGAGTTCAAGATTTTAAAACACAAAAGAAAAAAAACTCTATTTAACTAGGGAATTGTAATAATTGAGATAATTATTACAATAATTAATTGTATATTGTGTTGAAAGCAGAAATGGTTAAGTTTTGGTTTGGAGGAATATATGGGGAAAATTATTTGGTTTATTATTATTGGTAAATATAATTAATTGATTTGTAAGAAATTGGATTGCATGGAAATAATTGGAATATTCATGTTCATATTGATTAATATACAAAAAGATAGTTATATAACTAATTGATTTATATTAAAATGTTGAATTTGTATTAAACAACTGTAATATTACATAATTAACCAATGTGAGGATGGATATAAAAATAGATGACAATGGGAAGGGATATAATATAGAATAGAAGGGAAAATTGAATTTGATTAAGATTAGAGATGAGGATGAAGGGTAATACTGGTTTTTTAAAAAAATAGATGAGGAATAAATATGGCAAAAAGGAAATATAGAAATTGTAAATTTAATTGAAATGACTAAACTCTGTTTAAATTTGTGAACCGGCCAAATACTCTGTTCAAAGAAAATACATTGTATGTTTGTATGTGTGTTTCTAATTATTGCTATTTATTCATATTTGTTCTCTTTTATTCTTTAAAGTTTAACAATTCATTTTTTATCTTAATATCTTTATATTTGTTTGGGGTTGGCTTTCTTCCCTTTCATCTTTTTTATTGTACAGCAATCTTTCTCCTCAAACCTACCACCTCTCTCTTTTCTTTCCTTCTTACTTTCTCTTCCCCCCCTCTTCTTCTCCTCCCTACTTCCTCTTCCTTTCTCCTTCTCCTCCTCTCTTCCTCCCTCTCTTACCCTCACTCCTACTCTAATTTTCCTTCCCTTCCTTCATCCCTCTCTATTGCTGTATCCTTTTATGCATATGGACTACTCAGAGGGCTGAAAAAGTTATTTTTGACTGGTCCTTGCACTTTTGACCAGTCCTCGAACTTACGACTGTCCTCACATTTTACGTTTTTGCCCTATCTTGTCACCATGGTGAAGAGAAGCAGTTGTGAAATGAGTGACACGGTTGTTAAGAATGCTGCAATGGGCATAAATGATGACCAGTCATAAGTGGGAAGACCACATGGGTTTGAGGTCCTGGGCAGCTGGCAACATGGAGTGGAGAGTGAGGGTTATTTATACCTTTCTTAGGCCTTGCCCTTGAGCTTCCTGTTTCTGTGCAAGAATATGTATCCTATTGCCTGTTTTCAGACTCCCATGGAGCCATGTGGGATCATGTTTATCTGAGTCAAGTTTGGTTGAACTGTGCTAGGTGATGCAATGTTCTTAGAAGCCTGGTGGAGCAGTGGACTAAAGCGCTGTTAAATAGCACTTAGCTGCCAGCTGCCTGCAATTACTGCAAGTTCGAATCTCACCAGGCTCAAGGTTGACTCAGCCTTCCATCCTTCTGAGGTAGGTAAAATGAGGACCCAGATTGTGTGGGCAATAAGCTGACTTTGTATATAAAAAAACACCGCTTAGGGGGGGCCCAAAGCCCTACTAAGCAGGTATATACAAAAGTATGAAGGCTATTGCTTAACGCATTATAAGCTGCCCTGAGTCTCCGGAGAAGGGCGGCATATAAATCGAACCAATAAACAATAATAATAGAAGATGTTGCAATGCAGTGAGCTCTGCTGCTAGATAATCCTATTATGTCCTGGAGGGTCATGTCTTAATCCCATCACCCTGGAGCTGAAGGTCTTTTGTCTTGTAGATAGGATGGCCCAGTCTTTCTTAATGGGCACCAAATATCCGCTGGGAGCAAGGAGCTAAAGCTCTGAGTTTCTATCTTTAGAAACATGTTTCTCCTTTAGGGAAATATCTGTAAATGGACAGTTGGGGTGACCAGGTTGGGTTTCCTGCTGCTTTTGAGCTTCTGGGGTAGACCCCCTTTTCTCCTTGTGGGGCCACTTCAGCCTCCATGGGGCAGAGAATGAGCAATCTGGACTATTGTAAAGCTCTCTACATGGGGCTCCCCTTGAGGTGCACTTGGAGGCTACAACTGGCGCAGAGTGTGGCCGCGTGGGTGGTTATGGGAGCAACGTGGAGCTCCCATGTGACACCTCTCCTGCGTGAGCTGCACTGGCTCCCGGTGGTCTTCCAAGTGCGCTTCAAGTTCTGGTTACCACCTTTAAAGCACTCCATGGCTTAGGACCTGGTTATCTACGGGACCGCCTGCTACCACCAATAGCCTCCCACCGGCCAGTACTCTCCCACAGAGAGGGGCTCCTCCGGGTGCCGTCGGCCAAACAATGTCGACTGGCGGCCCCTAGGGGGAGAGCCTTCTCTGTGGGGGCACCTACGATCTGGAAAGAGCTCCCCCGGAGATACGGAGGATCCCGGATCTGCGCACCTTCCGTCGCGCGCTTAAAACGTTTTTATTTCATCAAGCTGGCCTGGCCTAAATCTTCTCCTTTTTTAAATTTAAATTTTAAATACAAATTTTAATCTGTTTAATTATGGGGTCTTTTAAAATTCAGCCAAATTATTTAATTCATTTTAATTTATTTTAAATTTTGTATCTCTGTATTTTATCTTCTGGCTGTTCACCGCCCTGAGTCCTTCGGGAGAAGGGCGGTATAGAAATTTAATAAAATAAAATAAAAATAATAAATAATCCAGGAAATGGTTTGAGGGAGGCCTTGCTAGAAGGGAAGGCACAAAGATTTGCTTTTTCCTTGGCCCTATTTTCCGTTCCCTCCCTTCATCACCCCCAATTTCTCTGCCCTCCTACCTTTCACACCCCACTCCCAAAGCTGCCTCTTTGCCTCTCAGTTGTTTCATTGTTCCACCCTCTGCCTCCTCTTTTTATTCCATCAGCCCCCCTTTCCTTTCCCCTTCTTCCTCTGCCCCCCAGGTCTCTTCTTGCTCCCCAAACCCTCAGATTGGGGCCTGTTGTGCTCCATCGGATCTGGGTTCCTCAGCTGAAGCCCCTTAACTCTATCCTTTGGGTTTCTTCCAGGCTCCTCCTTGCACTCCCTGAAGCATTTCATCACCTGCACCTCGGAACCCAGTCATGGGCGACCCCACTATTTTGTTCTGGGGTATGTAGACGATCAGGTCTATGTTCACTATGACAGCAACAGCCAGAGGTTGCAGCCCCGAGCCTCCTGGGTGGAGAAGATAATGAAGGAGAATCTCCAGCTTTGGGACAGAGAGGCCCAGAACGTACGTAATTATGAGGCCCTGAGCAGATCAAAACTGGAGTTTCTGCGTACTGGCTACAATCAGAGCAAAGGTGAGTGATGGATCGGCTGGCTCCTCCTGCCCCCATATTCCCTCTCACGAAATGCTTCTACACTTTTAAAAAAGTCTTTTCAACATACCGTTGCATATTAGGCAGATGTATTAACCTCTAAGCTACAGGTCCTCCTCACTTTGTCAGCTTGTACCAGGGGAGTACAAGGGTTTTCTTGTACCAGGGAGAGTACAAGAGTAAATGGGTTTTCTATCGAAGCAACCTGGTCTGCCCAAATATGGGAAGGAGCATACTGCTTCCTTTCGCCTTTCAGCCCCAATCCAGGAGCCCTCAGGCCGTCGCTTTCACGACAAACTATTTTATATTAAATTTATATTTACTGACAAAGAAATAAAGGGAGACTAGTATAGATCTATTTCAAGCTATTTAGCTCTCATCAGCTAGCCATACCCTTCTGGGATTCGAACCTGGGCTTGCTTGCATATTAGGCAGATGAATACAGCTATCATATCCTCCCTGGTCCTTCTTTTCTCTAGACTAGCCAAACCCAAATCCTGCAACCTTTCTTCATATGTTTTAGTCTCCAGGCCTTTAATCATTTTAGTTGCTCTTCTTTGCACTTTTTCCAAAGTCTCAACATATTTTTTGTAATGTGGTGACCAAAACTGAATGCAGTAACCCAGGCCTTGCTCCTTCTCTCCTCTTTTGTTGGAGTTGACTGAGTTGTGGGCTGTCTTTTTGAAGCCCCCTTGAGATGTCCCTCTCTCTTTTCCTGATTTTTGCCTGAATTTGGGGACAACACCCAGATCTTCTTTGAGGCCATGAGTTTCTTGGGCCCTGTTGCCACTTTAGGATCCCTTTTTCCACCACCCAGTGGTGGGTTGCTACCGGTTCTCCCCAGTTCTTGCGAACCGGTAGTGGAAATTTTGAGTAGTTCAGAGAACCGGTAAATAGCAACTCTGCCTGGCCCCGCCCCCAATCTATTTGCTGCCTCCCAAGTCCCAGCTGATTGGCTAGAAGGAAAAAGTCAGGGCTCACTTGACAAAGAAGAGGGGGAAAAAAACAAGACACCTTAGCTTTAAATTGAAAAGCCAAGAAGCCTCACAACTGATTGGCTAGAACCGATCCGCTCCTTGTAAACCGCTTGGTGGTGGTAGATTGGTAATTGAGTCCAAGCTGCCTGAAAGCGGTTTCTGATGCTCTCGGTGATGGCAGAGTGGCAAAAAACTGTTTAAACTCTTGCCGCAGCCCTTCAAAGAACCGCCCTAGAGCTGATCAGCGGTAAAAGGCAGTGTGGTGGTAGACCAGTGCACTCCAAAAACAAATGGGTAGACCGGAATGCTCCAAAAAAAAAAAAAGGGGGTAGACCGGTATGGCTCTGCAAGCAGTTAAAAGCCTGGTAGACCAGTGCCTCTGCTAAATCCTAAAGAATTGTTTGTCAGATGACCATCAAACCACGCCCACAAAATAAGCCACGCCCACAGAACCGGTAGTAAAAAATTTTAGAACCCACCCCTGCCACCACCCCTCTACCCCCAAGTTTCCCCAACAAAGGAGTGGTAGAGAGAAAAATGGAGGAGGCTCCATCCCTTCATTTCTTCTGCAACTCCATTTTTCTCCCCCTTGGGATCCTCCACTGCCTTTTCTAATCCTGGGAAGCTGAAAGGAGAATGTCTGAGCTGCCTGTTTCCTGATGAAGTTCAGGGGTTTAACCCGGGGGGGGGGGTACACATTGAGTGAGAGAAGAATGAGGACAATAGTGTGGGGGTGGGAATTGCTAGGAAGGAAATCAGGGTGTCAGTGCTTCATTACTGTCAAAAAGTCTCTGTGGGGTGGGACGGGGTGTCTCTCTCTCCTGAGGACTCATGAAACCATCTGCCTATCCCTCTTTCAGGCTTTCACACACTGCAGTGGATGTATGGCTGTGAGCTCTGGGGTGATGGAAGCAAAGAAGGGTTTTTGCAGTATAGCTACGATGGGAGGACCTTCATCACCTTCGACAAGGAGACCCTCACCTGGGTGGCTCACCAGCCCCTGGCTCAGATCATCAAGATGAAATGGGATGATAGTCCAGGATCTAATCAGGAATGGAAGTTCTACCTGGAGAAAGACTGCATTGAGAGGCTGCAGAAGCACCTGTTCTATGGGAAGAAGATGCTGCTGAGGACAGGTGAGCATCTGGATCCAGAACCGGTTCGGTGACGTCATATCGTCACCGCTACAGGCTTGGGAGAACCGGGCCGAACCGGGAGGACCCCACCACTGGGCAGACTTTACTCGCTCCATCCCACACACTTCCCATTGCTGGCTGAAGTCCTTCCCTGCTCCCCTTTCCTACAGTGGGGTGAGGGGCAGCTTTCTGATGGGGAAGCATCTCCCTGCCCCACTGTCTTTGTCACTGGCATTTGACAGGAGTCCTTCTCCCTTTCTGCCCCACTTTTCTCCCTCCTTCCCTTCCTTTCAATGGCTCGCTGGCTGCCAACATTGTGCTGTTGTCCCCAATTCGGGTCTGAGCCTGGTGCTAAGGATGGATGCCAGACAGGAGGTGCAGGTTTTTTTATTGCTTTTTATTGGAGTACCTCAAGGAAAAGGGCTCCTGGCTAAAATGCCAAGAACCTAGAACAAAGGATAAAAAAAGCTTTATACATTTTCACTAAAGGAAAAGGTGGGACTAGGCAGGATAATAAGAAATATCATCTGAAGCATCAACGAGTGCAGCTAAAGGACTATCAAGGGAACCACATCCTTGTCATAAGGAGCGGTACCTTCCAAATCAAGTTTAAAAAGTTTGTCGTGCTGTTGAAACTAACCGTGGTAGATGGTGCCTTGCCAAGCCTGCTTGGCTTGGACTGGTTCGCATCCCTGGGCATGGGGGTGACCAGCATCCACACCATCCAGGACAACAGCACTGACGAGCTGGTCAGGGAGTTTGCAGATGTATTCAATGGGAGTTTGGGCAAGTATGCAGGAATGTCCATCTCTTTTAGCCTAGACCCAAAAATCGCCCCTACGGATGAAGCCACAAAAAGTCCCTTTCGCTCTCTGGCCCAACATTGACAGCAAATTAGACAAGCTAATTGGCTGGGGGTTTTAGAGCCAGTAGACCATGCTAAGTGGGAGACCCCTATAGTCACACTGATAAAATCTGATGACTCAGTCTGTATCTGCGTGGACTACAAATGTACAATAAACATGGTGCTTCAGCAGAGTGCCTAACCCCTACCAGTTGTACAACATTTGTTACATTCTTTAGAAAAGTTTAGGAAACTTTCACCAAACTCGACCTAGCACAAACATATCAGCAATTGCGGTGGACAATGCCACCACAAAGTCACAGACTATTGTGACCCATCAAAGTGCCTTTAAATGCCGCTGTTTGCAATTTGGTGTCAGCGTAGCACCAGGACTTTTTCAAAGCATAATGGAATGATTATTACAGGGCATTCCAGGGGTAGTGCCCTACTTCGATGATGTCCTGGTGTCCACGGCCAATAAGAAAGAGCTCCTCGATTGACTGAGGATAGTTCTTAGTTGGTTTCGAGAGGCTGGACTTAAAGTAAAAAAAGGAAAAGTGCCAGATTGCAGTGCCAAGGGATATTTAATTGACAGCTCAGGCATACACCCCACAAAAAGTAAGGTCAAGGCTATGAAAGCAGCCCCAACACCCCAAAATCAGATACAGCTCCAGGCATTCCTGGGTTTGTTAAACTTTTATAGCATTTTTCTGCTGCAGAAGGCGATAGTAGCTGAGCTGCTACACTGGCTGCTGGATAAGAGGGCAAAATGGACTTGGGGCTGGAAGGAAGCTGCCATATTTGCTGTAATCAAAAAACTTTTGCCTTCCAATAGCATTTTAATACAATATAATGAGACTCTACCCCTCATCCTAACATGTGACACTTCCCCATTTGGCATCGGGGCTGGCCTCAATCACTGAATGCTTAACGGGACTGAGGCTCCGATTACCTTTTACTCCAGGACTCTATCGGCAGCCGAGTGGAACTACAGCCAGCTGGACAGAGAGGCGCTGGCTGCAATGGCGGGGGTCAAGCGGTTCCACGAATACATCTATGGAAGAGACTTTGAACTAATAACCGGCCACAAACTGCTCCTGGGCCTGCTGGCTGGGGACCGCCCCACCCTGACCGTTTTATCACCGCGAATGATGAGATGAATCATCATTCTAACCTGCTAACCCACCGGCCGGGCAAGTCCCTGGGCCACACAGACACCCTCAGTCAGTGCCCATTACCAGAACTCTTAGAAGACCCCACTCCTGTCATACCCATACTTCTTATTGAGGACGTTGCATCCGGCCCTATTTCATTGGCCAAGATAGCAAGACATTCTACCAAAGATAAAACTTTAGCACAAGTTCTGAACTGGGTGTGGAGGGGGTGGCCAAAGGGGGCAGTAGCGGGTGACCTACAGCCGTTTGATGCATGGCAGCATGTATTATCAGCCCAAAAAGGTTGTATACTGTGGGGGGACTGGGTAATTGTACCCCCAAAATTAAGGAAGCCAGTGCTAGAGGCTTTACACGTGGGGCATCCTGGAATCATCAGAATGAAGGCACTGGCCAGGAGCTATGTTTGTTGGCCTAATATAGTTGAGGAAATTGCTGAATGGATTGCTACCTGCACACCTTGTCAGGAGTCCAGACCAGCACCACCCTTTGCCCTGGCACACAAATGGGAAATGCCAAAAGCACCCTGGTCAAGATTTTGCTGGACCAGTCCAAAGCCAGACATTCCTAATAGTTGTGGACGCTTATTTGAAGTGGCTTAAGATAATACTTATGACCTCTATAATGGCAGAGGCAGTCATTAAAGTATTACAGAGACTTTTCTCCACCCATGGCCTACCAGACATTCTGGTTTAGGACAATGGCCCTCAATTCACAGCCCCTCTATTCAAAATGTTCTTGGTGGAACAGGGAATCAGACATGCCCTGGTCACACCATTCCATCTGACCAGCAATGGTCAAGTGGAGAGGATGATGCAATCTGCAAAAGGAAGGGCTCGGGAGATTGGCAGGCCAAAATTGACAAATTCCTCCTAGTCCAGCACATTACCCCTAGTGCAACAACAAACAGAAGCCCATCAGAATTTTTAATGAGTTGCTACAATCACAATTAGACTGGCTATACCCCAACTATACTGCCAAAGCACCCAGTGATTTGACCAGCCAACTCTGGTCATTCAGCGTAGGGGACATGGTGTATGCCCACAACTACACCAGGGATGCTCTCTGGGTCCCTGCCAAGGTGATAGGAATCACAGGACCCCACTCATACAGATTGGAACTAGAGGACAGTAGGCTATGGAGAAGGCATATAGACCAACTACGGGGCCGACTAGGAACCTCAGTTCTAAGGCAACCAGAAATAGCTTTGACCAAGGAAAGCCAATACCCTATACAAACTAGCAAACAACCCGAAACTCCACGTACAGTAGACTCAAACTTTCAAACTGCCCCCCCCCCAATGATCTGAAAGGACCCCTCTGGCTTTCTTTGCACCCTGTTAGTTGTTCCTCCAGTCTTCATTGGAACCGGGACTCCTAGGGCGGTGGCCTTTCTGCCTTACAGCCACTTGCTGACAAACCAGTGAAGGGGCAGGCGCGGGGCACTCCAAGGACAGAAAAACTCACTTTCTGCCTCTACCTTTAGCAATGGTGTGGGCTGAAGCCAAGTACCTCCTGAACCACCCCTCCACCATGTGTATCTTCTGTTCATTTGAAAGTTGCTGGGGAATGATGGAGAAAGCTCAGCTTTCACTCCCAGAACTATAGAGAGCAAAATCTGGAGAATATGAAGTTTTGTCTCCTTTGGGGGACAATATAAAACATGACAGCTCTCCAGTTCGAGGTAGGCTGAAACCTCTCTTTCGTTATGGTTAAGGTGGAGCCAGTTCCTCCCCATCCAGATCTTCACAGCCTCAGTCTGGCTAGAGGATGAGGAAGAGACAGAGGGCGATGTGGAAGTTGTTCTGGGGGTGGCGGGAGATCAACCACGGCCAGGTTCCTGGAGGCATTGCATGGCTGCCAGCAGTTCATGGAGGCAAGGAAATGCCGGGACATTAAGTTGCTCCCATGCCCAGTTGACTCGTTCCACATCAAGCCGGCTGTGCCCAGTCATACGCACCCATCCATCTGCTTCCATCTGCCCACACCAACCTATCTGCACCTACTTAGGTGCGCCGAATCATCTGACCCGACCCAGCCACACCCACTCTTTTCACGTCCACCCGGTTATGCCCATTGAGCTGCTGCCTCATTCCTCTCCCTGCCCTGGGAGGACTGTCTCTCTTTTCCCTTGGCATCACTCTCTCTGCCCGCCCCCCCCCCCCCCCCCCGCTTTGAGAGAGACAATCATTTTTCCAAATTGACCAGTGTGAGATCCCAAAAGGCTCCATGCCTTTGCTTTGATTCTGGTTCTCCCTATCTTGATATTGTGGTCGTGTCCTGTGGAAAGAGGCCTGGAACAGCTTACAATTTGAGGAAGTGGAAGTGAAATTTCCTTAGAGCCACAATCTGCTGCAAATTTTAGGCTGAGTCACTAAAAATCAAGAATCATTGTGCTTGAATATTATCCGGATTGGGAGCATTTGTAAACCTCTTGGAGATGCTGCAATTGTGGCATGTTGAATCCCTAAATTAAAACTAAGTAATAGGAAGCTTTCGAGTTTCTCATCCACCTTTCAGGCTCTGGAGGGGCTCAGAGATCTTTCTTTTCTGCAGACTCCCCAGTGGTGACAGTGAGCAGCAAGACGGAGACTGAGGATGGGATGGAAACGCATGTCTGCCGAATCGACGGCTTCTACCCCAAGGCAATTGATGCTTCCTGGACAAGGGATGGGAAGGTCTGGTTGCAGGACACCTTCCATGGGACTGTGGTCCCCAATGCGGATGGGACCTACCACTATTGGCTCAGCATCCAGATTTATTCCAATGACAGTGACCACTACCAGTGCCACGTAGAGCACGACAGTTTGCAGGAGCCTCTGGACGTGGCCCTGAAGGGTAAGAGACTGCAGGGAGGGAAAGGCTGAGCTCTTTTTCTTTTCTTTTTTTGTAATTTTTTTTTATTTTTTTCCAACATAAACATAAAAAAGAAATTTTTTTCATGAACGAAGTCTTGGTCCGGTCACAAACGGGTACATTAATTTAACAAATGAGAACAAAGAATTTTAACATAAATTCCAACGTCTTAATAAATCTTCCTATTATCTCATCATACATCCTAATCTCCTACTAAGGCAGAGCTCATTTTTATATGCAATTATAAATTCAATTATAAATCAAAATTTATTTATTTTATTTATTTATTTATTTTATTTCTATACCGCCCTTCTCCCGAAGGACTCAGGGCGGTGTACAGCCTAATTAAAAACACAAAGACAGACAATATTTAAAAATAATTAAAATTATTAAATAATAGGCCCAATTTATAAAACCCCAAATTTAAAATCCCATTTAAAACCAAATTAAAATCTTTATATTGATAGCCCAGCCTGGCGGAACAACATGGTTTTGAGGGCACAGCGAAATACACGGAGATCAGAGATTTTACAAATTTCTGGGGGGTGTTCATTCCAAAAGGCAGGGGCTCCCACAGAGAAGGCCCTCCCCCTGGGTGTCGCCAGCCGACATAATTTGGCTGATGGCACCCTGAGGAGACCCTCTCTGTGGGAGTGGACTGGCCGGTGGGAGGCTACTTGTGGCAGAAGACGGTCTCGAAGGTACCCAGGTCCAATGCCATGGAGCGCTTTAAAGGTGGTAACCAACACCTTGAATTGCACCCGGAAGACCACTGGGAGCCAGTGCAGTTCACGCAGGAGGGGTGTCACGTGGGCACAATGAGTTGCGCCCATAACCACCCGCACGGCCGCATTCTGGACCAGTTGGAGCCCCCGGGTGCTTTTCAAGGGGAGCCCCATGTAGAGAGCATTGCAGTAGTCCAGTCGAGAGGTGACAAGGACGTGAGTGACTGTGCGCAAGGCGTTGCGGTCCAGAAAGGGCCGCAACTGGCGGATCAAACGAACCTGATAAAAAAAATTCAATACCGCTTTATTTAAATTTTTTTATCCCTTGCTCCTTTTAGCAACAACATTAAATACAAAGACAACCTATTCTATTAATCTATAAATTTGTCTTACAATTTTATCCACAAATCTTAAATTCCAAATGTATACAACTCAATTTTTTTTTCAATTTATTAATCAAAATTTCTTTCTATTTTTCTCATTTTCTAAACCCAGTTCATCCTATCATGTTCTTAAACTTTTACATAGAGATCTCAAAATTTACCATTTCATTTTAATTATCACCCAACATTTTCTTTTTCACCCCTTATTAATCTTTTTCACCCCTTATTAATTAAATATATTCTCCTCATTCTCCTCTATTACTCCACCTATTATTTGGCTAATTTCCACCATAGCATATTTTGGCTGAGTTTTCAGCATATTCTCCTCCATAACTCCCCCTTTTATTTGGCTGATTACCAGCATTTTCCATTGTTTTGGCTGATTTCCAGCATGCTTTCTTTTGGCTGATTAACAGCATTCTCCTCCTTAACTCCACCTATTATTTGGCTGATTTCCAGCATTTCATTATTTGGCTGATTTCTCAGCATATTCTCCTCCATTAATTTCAACTTCTATTCTGCTAACTTATTAAAAATTTCTTTTTCCATATATTGTCTACTAATCCACTGTTTCCAACTGTTCTCTTCCAGGGTGTATCCCCATTTATTTTTTAATATTAATCATTTCCAACATGTGTTAAATGCAATCACAATTATAACTTCCATCTGTGTACCTTAGTACATCATCTAAAATCATTAACAATTGATCATCATTATCATCCACCACTTTGTTATCAAATTAAAACTAAAACATGTTACAAGTTATGCTTTTATGAACATATCACTTTTAGTCACCTTAACTTCCCACTTCTATTTTTATTATGTTTCTATCTTTAATTACCATAAACACTTCTTGTTTTTATTTAAAGCTCATTTAAATTTTGAACCATTTAAACAATTAAACATTCAAACATTGCTATCTAATTTATCTATTTTGCTTCTTCGTTCCCTTATCTGTCCATATGTATTTCAATTCAAAGTCAATACTTCCACGCTTAAAACTCTGCATATCCTTTTAAATTCTATTATAAAGTCTATTTCCAGTAAAACATCAGCTTCTCCACTTCTGATCTTGCGCCAAGCCTTTTATTGCTACACCAGTCAGTTAAAAGTTTATTAGTCATTGTATTTCTTCTTTCTTTGTAAAGTCATTAAACGACAGAATAGGAATCTCCAAAGTTCAAAAAGTCCTAGTTTTTTTTCCCCCAAAGTAATCCACAATATGTATCAAAACAAGTAGGTTCTTTTCAAGAAAAAACAAGTTTCTGCAATCAACACTTTCACTTGGTCACAGCTTAAATTGCCATTTTGAAACATTTGTGTAGCAATCCGTTTGATCTCTTTGTCTGGCTTTTAAAGGTGGCAAGTCCTTAATTCGCTTTTCTCTTTTCAAGTTCATTTCGGTTTTAGCAAGAAGGTTCAAATATCCAGCTCTATTTAATTAATAAGCAGTTCCCTCCAATCAATCAGTGGTGGAATAAAGTTCTTAAAGGGTTTAAAACTTCTTTCCTTTTTTTTTTCTTCAAAATCTTCAAGCCCCTCAGATCTTCAGCCGCTAGGTAAGGCTGGGGGTCTTATTTATAAATATCCTCATTAACGCGTTGTTTCTCGCCTGGGCTGGTGTCACTCACCCAGCTCCGAAGCATATCATCCTTTCTTCCTTCCTCCTGCACTTTGCTTGTCCCGATTTGTCGCAGTCTCGAGGCAGCCGCCATGGCTGCCGTCCCCCGCTGCTGACTTAGAGGATTGCCTCCGGCCTCCGAGGCCCATTCCTCTCGGCCGCCCAAGGGGTTCCTCTCTTTCCCCTGTCCCTTCAGGACAGGGTAGGTCCGCAGACCTGTCAGCGGCAGTTAGCCAGTCGGGGTTTTGGCAGGGCTCATCAGAGCCTCGCCATTTCCCCGACTGCATCCCCGCGCCGCCAAACCAGAAGTTTGTCTGAGCTCTTCTTCAAGCTGAAGGATTGTGGGAGAGATATTTGACCCCAGCTATTTCCAGGTGTGAGCATACTTGAACTTTAATCCATTGGTTTTCCCTGTGTTTGAGGTTAGTGCATCTGTAGGGAACAGTCCATAGAATTGGCTTCAGGTGATTTATTGGAAGCTACAGAATCCCATCCCAATCCTGATGAAATGCTCTTAGATCCTATCTTAGCCTTTATTTCTTCCCTGTTTCCTGCCTCCAGCAGAGGAGCAGCAGTTATGTTGAGCACCAGAAACAGATTTTCTTTTGTTTAGAATTCCTAAAGGAAAAAAAATCAGGAGGAATCTGTAGCCCTTTTCTGACTGCCAAATTTTATTAACATGTGTCAAATTCAGCTGACTTCATGAAATGCACAGAGTAGCTGGATTGATGTATCAGTAGTCAGATCTAAGCACCCCGCCAGCCGGATCCGAGCCCCAGGCCTTGAGTTTGACACCCCTGCTTTACGTTATAAAATGGGAATATAAGAAATTAAGAAAAAAGACAGCATACAGACCAGTGGTGGGTTCCTCCCGGTTCAGTCCGGTTCGGCCGAGCCGGTAGCGGTGACGATATGACATCACCGAACCGGTTCTCCCCCCCAGCCCTCCCACCCCCCCACCCCCCCATGTTATTCTTACCTTTTATTTAGTCCCACCCTCAATCTATTGCTGCCTCCTGAGTCCCAGTTGATGACTAGAGGGAAAAAAACTGTTTAAACTCTTGCTGCGGGGCTTCAAAGGGCCGTCCTACAACTCATCAGTGTTAAAAGCAAACAAATGAGTCGGGTCATAAGTGCGAGGACTGGTCGTAAGTGCAAGGACCTTCCAGAAATGACTCTGACCAGCTAGCCACGCCCACCTAGTCACATGACCTCCAAGCCACACCCACAAAATAAGCCACGCCCACAGAACCGGTAGTAAAAAAAATTAGAACCCTCCCCGATACAGACCTGCCCAATTCCATCCAGAGTCATGACATATTGGGGTAGCTTGTAAAAAGATCAAAGACATGTTCATTATTTCATGAATTTTGTTTATATTATGGTGTTGCTGACGTTTTTGTTTCTATAAACTGCCGAGAGTCACAAGATTGCAAATTGCTTTTGAGCTGAAATGCTAAAGATGAACATCAGCTACTTTCACGCTGGACTGGTGTTTTTGAGGAAGGCAGCTTGATGAGAACACATCTAACAATGGTCAGCAAGGCATTTGCATGTCACCCTGAGAGGGACATGAGCAGGGGTGAAATCCAGCAGGTTCTAACAGGTTCTGTAGAACCGGTAGCGGAAATTTTGAGTACTTTGGAGAACCAGCAAATACCATTTCTGGTTGACCCCAGAGTGGGGTGAGAATAGAGATTTTGCAGTATCCTTCCCCTGGAGTGGGGTGGGAATGGAGATTTTGCAATATCCTTCCCTGGCCACGCCCACCAAGCCATGCCCACAGAACCAGTAGGGAAAAATTTTGGATTTCACCCCTGGACATGAGCTCTTCATCCTTTTAATTGGGGGGATTTCCAATCCTTTGACTCTGTTATGTCCCCTAATTAGAATGATTGTTTGGGGTTCTCCTTCAATTATCTGCTCTTTCTCCCAATTCAGCTCCAAAGTCCAACAAAGGGTTCATCATTGGCTTCATTGTGGCTGGTTTTGCCCTGGCATGTGTGATTGTTGGGACTTTGATACTCTTCAGTAAGTATCCTTATTTACAATACTGTAATTTTTATTTATTTATGTATTTATTTTTCAGATTTCTATACCGCCCTTCTCCTTTCGGACTTAGGGCGGTGAACAGCCAAATATAAAACATTTGTACACAAAAGTTAAAATAGATTTAAAATAATTAAATAAAATTTGGCCCATAATTTAAAACATTTCAATTAAAATCAATATCAAATTTTAAAACCAACCATAAAATCAGGACAGCCTGGCTAACTGAAAAAAAATAGGTTTTAAGAGCCCGACGAAAAGTCCGGAGGTCTGGAATCACTCGTATCTCTGGGGGTAGATTGTTCCAGAGAGGAGGTGCCACCACAGAGAAGGCTCTCCCCCTGGGGGTCGCCAGCCGACATTGTCTGGCCGACGGCACCGTGAGGAGGCCCTCTCTGTGGGAGCGAACTGGCCGGTGGGAGACACTTTCCTGAGCTTCCTTTTGTCCTATTTTCCCAGCCCTCTTGGGGAGCATCTGATATCTCGGCCTCTTGCTGGGTCTTCAGTCTTGACTTGGCTGAGTGACGTTGGGACTGTCCCGTCTTCTTCTGAGTTGGGAAGAGGCATCCCAGCTCTGTCCCTTTCAAAAGCTTTGATCAAAGATCCGCAGAGAAGGATTTCCATGGAAACCTTCCTCTCCTCCCAGTTGCTGCTGCTGCTGCTGCTTCCCCCAATTCCCCGCCATCCATCTCAGAGGCAGCAGGTCCCTCTTGGGGCAAATCAGGCGGAATGCTTGTAGTCTGTGATTGTTAATAATAGTCTCAGTTGTGTCTAAACAACTGCTAAACTCTCTCCTGGGGATTTTTTCTGCAGAGGGAGGGATTAGACGATCTCTGGTGGAATTGGATTATTCTTAGTGAACTGCCCCCGGAAATACGTAAGATCTCCGACCTCCGGGTGTTTCGCTGCACACTGAAGACCCTGTTGTTCCGCCAGGCCGGACTATCAACATAATAGTTTTAAATTGGGGTATTTAAATTTTTTGGGGTTTTAAATCTGAGCCAATTTATTTAATTATTTTAAATTTTAATTGCTGTTTTGTCTGTGTTTTTAAATAGGCTGTACACCGCCCTGAGTCCTTCGGGAGAAGGGCGATATAGAAATAAAATAATAATAATAATTATTATTATTATTATTATTATTATTATTATTATTATTATTATTATTATTATTATTATTATTATTATTATTATTATTATTTCACTAATTTTTGTCCTTACAGAGAAATGTCGAGCTAAGTACCAAGTATCAAGAAGAGTACCAAGTGAGTGATTCGTCCTCTTTATATGTAATCTCCAACTGAGGCAGCATCAGTTGAAGACTTGTATATGTATATTGGTATATGTCCAAACACAAAAGCAGGTCGTGGAGGTGCAGAGTTGTGCTATCTCCCTCTCCCTCTGAAGAACTAGGCTAGGGAAGATTGTCCCCCCCACCCCCCATTTCATAACAGCCAGGCTGTTCTTGGGAGTGGAAACCCCAAGGAGAAGCATCTGGGGCAAGGAATCCTCAAGGTGACAAGACCCAGCTGCGTGGAAAGATACTTCTGATTGAGAAGCTCTCTAACAATATGACAGAGTTCAAAGAGACCTTTTAGTCCAGTGATGGCAAACCTTTTCAGGACCAGGTGCCCAAACCGGAACGCGCATGCATGTGCGTGCAAGTGTGCAAGCCAGAGCGCCAGAAACCTGAAGACCAGCTGGTCGGCGTGGGCATGCCTGTTTTTGGGCCGGTTTCCAGGACGATTTCCAGCCGGTTTCAGGCTTTATTTCGGGCCTGAAAACAGCCCGGATAAGGCCCGGAAATGGCCTGGTTTTTGGCCGGATTCAGGCCATTTTCCAGCACTCTGACACCCGTGATGATCAGGTAGCTGGCATGAAACCAGAAGAGCAGCTGGCGATGGTACGCGTGCCCACAAAGAGGGCCCTGCATGCCACTGGTTCGCCATCAGTTCTAGTCCAACCCCCTGCTCAAGCAGATGATCCTATACTATTCCAGAGAAATGGCTGTCCAGTAACCCACAACCTTTCCACTAATTACGTGCTCTCACTGTCAGAAAATTTCTCCTTAGTGGATCTGTCTTCAATGAGTTTTCATACATTACTTCTTGTTTTGCCCTCAGGTACTTTGGAGGATAGATTGACTCCCTCTTCTCTTTGACGGCCCCTCAAATATTGGAAGACTGGTATTGTGTCACCCCTAGTTCTTCTCTTCATTAGACTAGACCAGGGGTGTCAAACGTGTGTCGTCACATCAACGTCATGTGATGTATTGCAAGTTTGGGGGGAGAGAGAGAGAGAGAGAGAGGGAGAGGGTTGGAATCAGATCTGTATTTTTCTATCTCCTCCCTCTAGCCAAGAAACTGACCTTCTGGCTTTCTTTTCTTTTTTCTTCTCCAGCAGGTGACAAAGGATCTGACAGTTTATGCCCGAGTAAGTCAGAAGGAACTGTTCTTGAATGAGCAGAAGTGTTCTAACTCTTAAGAAGGCTTTTGGGGGGGTTTGAAAACGGTTTGAAAAGGGGGAGGGCCTACATTTTTTTACTACTGGTTCTGTGGGCGTGGCTTATTTTGTGGGCACGGCTTGGTGGGGGTAATGTGACTGGGTGGGCGTGGCCAACTTTTTTTTTTTTTTTTTACTTTTAAAAGCATTTTTTTCTATAACCTTAAGAGGTTGCAGAAAAAAATGCTTTTAGAAGCCTCTGATGATCAGGCAACTCAGCTGGGATCGCCAGAGGCTATTAAAGGCATTTTTTTCCCTACAACCTCTTCGGCTGAGCCACGCGATCATCAGAGGCTTTTTTTTTTAACTTTTAAAAGCAGGCTGGCTTTTAAGTCATTATTTAATTTTTGTCATTCACATTTCATTTTGTCCTTCCTTTTGCGTCCTATCTTTAATGATTCTATTCCATCATTTCTTCAATATTGTGTAACTTTTGTTCTGCGGTGAGTTGGCTGTGGTAATTGTCTCATGGTGAGTTGGCCATGGCAGAGTTGGCTGCAGTGAGTTGGCTGTGGCGAGTTGTCCTAGACCAGGGGTCAGCAACCTGCGGCTCTGGAGCCGCATGTGGCTCTTTCACCCCCTCAGCTGCGGCTCCTTATCACTCAAAACATACGTCACAACCGCCAATGTGCGACACCCGCCGGCACGCGATTTATTGAGCTTTTCAACCCCTAGTAGGCCCACCATGGATAAATCCAAGAAAAGAAAAGTTTCAGAAGAAAACAGAACATTTAATTCAACTACATATGCTAGTTTTGTGGCCACTCAAGAAATAGTCAGGCATGGGAAGGGTTTTGTGGCTCCCGGTGTTTTCTTTTCTGTGGGAAATGGGTCCAAATGGGTCTTTGAGTGTTTAAGGTTGCAGATCCCTGTCCTAGACCTCTCTTGAGGCTGCTGTTTCTGCTCCTTCCCTGGGATGATCTTTGCTGATCCCTCAGCCTGGGCAGTGGGATTCCTCCTCTGGGCTCCCTCCCAGACTGACCCTGCCTGCTTTTTCCCTCCTCTTTTCAGCCTGAGTGGACAGTCCCAGCGTGAGGAGAGAGGAGAGAAGATGGGATCGACCTTCTTCTGAATTAGGCCGGACTCTCAGGAGGAGCCTTTCAGGACCTTCCACAATATGCTTGAACCAGGATATATTTTTTGGACATTCATCATTGCTTTTATCATTGAAATAAATAACATTTTTATTCTGAATGAGGATCAGAGCAGAATAGGAAATGTTGTGTGTTTATAATTGTGGAATGAAAAAGATTCAAATTAGATATAATTTGCAATAATTATGTGGTCTTTTGTGACAACCTTTATTTTTTTATTTTTTTTTAAACAAACTTTATTAAATGATCAAACAATTATAAAAACAATTAAAACCATAATAAAATATTCATACACATAGATCATATCTTATATTTGACATTTCATTTCTATTCTTTTACATATCTATATATATTCTTCTCCCCTACACATTTTATATTTCATAACCTAGTCCCACATTCATACTCATGACGGTGAAGTTATTGTTGGTATTTATATGAAATAAGCATGGAAATACACTACCAATTATCAATTCTTAATTTAAAACTCACTATTAGAGAAAAAAAAGTAAAATTTAATACTCATCAAGATTATCTTTGTACTTTACTAAGTATATCCTTATCCACTTTCTTTTCGCTTGATCCAATCATACCACTTGTCCCATACCTTAAAATACTTTGAGCTTTCCTTATCCTTTAATTTTAGTGTTAGTTGATCTGATTCCGCACATGCATATATTTTTTGTATTATCTGTTGGTTGGTTGGCAAATGATCCGTCTTCCAAATTTGTGCAATATGATGTATCAAATATGTCATTTCTTTTCTAATATTTTGTTTATATATTCCTAATAAAAAAAATCTCTGGGTCTAATTCTATTTCTTCTCCTGTAATTTGTGATATCCAGATTCTAATTTTCCCCCAGTATGCCTTGATTTTGGGACATAGCCACCATACATGATAAAAAGTTCCTCGGGCCTGTTTACATTTCCAACATTTCGGGTCCAAATTAGGGTACATTTGTGCTAGTCTCGAGGGGGCAAGGTACCACCTATACCACATCTTGTATTGGTTTTCCTTGTAAATTACTGATTTCGTTATTCTAATGTTGTTTTCCCAAATCCTTTCCCACTCTTCTAGTTGAATATTTTTACCTATGTTTCTAGTCCAGGCAATCATTTGGTCTTTAATTATATTCTCATTTAAGTCAATTTCTAGTAAATATTTATATATTTTGGATATTAATTTCCCTTCTTTCATTTCCAGAAATTTATCAAGCCTATTAGGGTTCACATCTATTCCTCCTTTGTCCCTGTCTTTCCTATACCTATTTTGTACTTGAAGGTAGGGCCACCAGTCCAATTCTATTCCCACATCTCTGAGGTCCTGGTGTGTTCTTAGTAGTCCATTTGAGTCTAGTAGGTCCCTATACCGTATAATTCTAGGAAGAGATATAGTATTGGGGTGCATAGACGCCTCCACTGTGGAAAGCCACCCGGGAACCTTCGTATAGCATTTTTCTTTATTTCCAACCAAGTGCCAATTAATGCTCTCCTAATTATATGATTGTTAAAGTGTTGGTATGTTTTAATGGACTTTTGCTAATTGGGCAGATGAGGTTGTAGAGATGTGTGTTCAGAGAATTGGTTGAGGAATGGGATGAAGAGGAATTATTATTATTATTATTATTATTATTATTATTATTATTATTATTATTATTATTATTATTATTATTATTATTATTATTATTATTATTATTATTTAATCTTTAGTGAGATTCACAGCCTTTGAGGCTGGTTAATAGCTCAGCAGCTCGAGTCCTAACCAAGGACCTAGGAACTGTTAAGGTATCATCGGAGGATGTAAGCTGTTCCGAGTAAGGTGGTTTTTTGCAGAGTCAAAATGTTCAAGTCCGGTAAATTTAGAATTTCTAAATAGCGAGGTAGTCCTTTGGATATTGCTCCAAGGGCTCCAATTACAATCGGGACAACACACGATTTCTTTTTCCACAGTCGCTCAACTTCAATTTGCAAGTCCCGGTACTTTGTGATTTTTTTTTCTTGCTGCTTATCTTCAATCCGTGCGTCACCAGGTATTGCAATGTCAATGAACCATACTTTTTTTCTTTTCAACTATTGTTATGTCAGGTGTGTTGTGGACCAAGTGCCTGTCAGTCTGAATCCTAAAGTCCCACAAGATCTTGAGTTTCTCATTCTCTAAAACTTTCTCAACCTGATGTTCCCAGTGGTTTTTGCTGTACTCAAATCCAAACTTCTGGCACAATTTCCAGTGAATGATCTTAGCAACACGGTCATGGCGTTGTAGGTAGTCAGTTTGTGAAATTTTGCTGCACCCACTGATCAGGTGGTCAACTGTCTCCTCTTTTTCATTGCAGAGGCGGCATTTGCTGTTGGTGGTAACATGTTGAATTTTTGCCTTCACACAGTTTGTGGCTAGGGCTTGTTCTTGAGCTGCCAAAATAAAGCTTTCTGTTTCTTTTTTCAGTACTCCTGATCTTAACCAGTTCCAAGTTAGTTTCTGGTCAGCTTTGCCTTCAATACTTTTCAAGTATTGGCCATGCAGAGCTTTGTGTTTCCAATTTTCAGCTCGCTGCTCAATTACTTCTTTCTTATATTCTGCTTTTGTTTTAGTTGTCTTTAAAAGGCCTCCTTTATTTACTTCCTTAATCATTGGTTCTTCACTTTTCTGGATGTAACCATTCAAGCTGCATTTTTCTTCTTCCACAGTCTGCTTTACTTGTAGGAGTCCTCAACCACCCTCTGCTCTTGGTAAATATAATCGGTCAACATCACTTTTAGGGTGCAAGGCATGATTCATTGTCATAAGCTTCCTTGTTTTTCTGTCCAAATTGTCTAACTCCATCTGGGTCCAGTCAATTATTCCTGCAGAGTATCTAATCACAGGTATAGCCCAGGTATTTATGGCTTTTATGATGTTTCCTCCACTCAATTTGGACATTAATATCTTCTTCTCCTTCTCCTTCTCCTTCTCCTTCTCCTTCTCCTTCTCCTTCTCCTTCTCCTTCTCCTTCTCCTTCTCCTTCTTCTTCTTCTTCTTCTTCTTCTTCTTCTTCTTCTTCTTATTATTATTATTATTATTATTATTATTATTATTATTATTATTATTATTATTATTATTATTATTATTATTATTATTATTATTATTAAGCTTCTATGCTGTCCTTCTCACCAAGGCAACTCTAGGCAGCTTACAGTCATATAATAAAAACACAATATAAAACATTTAAAATACAAATAATAACCATAGATCTAAAAGTCAGTTAAGATTTACTTGGTTTTACTTTAAGGAAAGATTGATAAGTTGTTTATCCTGATCATACTTGTGTGGAATGAAAGAGGAGTTTACCTCTCTTTTCTCTTCTTGTTTTCTTTGTATCAGTGGTATTAGTTTTATCTGTATAATATAATCTTGAACAAAATCATTATTAAAAAAGTGTGAATTCTGAAATGTCTGCTATTAAAGCAGTTCATGTTTTTTTTTTTAAAAAAAAATATTAATTATTGCAGCATGAATTGACCATATGTTTGATCATCCAAACTTTAACAAATAATCAATGTACCAAGTCAGCCACTGAATTTTTCCAGGTTGCCATTTATGGATTTTCACAATTTAGAAAAATGGGACGCGAGATCGATTGTGCAGCCAGGCTGCTTCCTTGCAGGGTTGACCATCTCCTGATTCCAATGTCTGAAAGAAAAACCAGAACTTTCCAAATGGCCAGCAGGATTCAATCTGGTCCAGTGGTGAAATCCAATTTTTTTTACTACCGGTTCTGTGGGCGTGGCTTGGTGGGCATGGCATGGCTTGGTGGGCGTGGCAGGGGAAGGATACTGCAAAATCCCCATTCCCTCCCCACTCCTGGGGGAAAGATATTGCAAACTCTCCATTCCCACCCCACTCTGGGGCCAGCCAGAGGTGGGCCGGTTCTCCAAACTACTCAAAATTTCCGCTACCAGTTCTCGAAACTACTCAAAATTTCCGCTACCGGTTCTCGAAACTACCCAAAATTTCCGCTACCGGTTCTCCAAACTACTCAAAATTTCTGCTACCGGTTCTCCAAACTACTCAAAATTTCTGCTACCGGTTCTCCAAACTACTCAAAATTTCCGCTACCGGTTCTCCAAACTACTCAAAATTTCCGCTACCGGTTCTCCAAACTACTCAAAATTTCCACTACCGGTTCTCCAAACTACTCAAAATTTCTGCTACCGGTTCTCCAAACTACTCAAAATTTCTGCTACCGGTTCTCCAAACTACTCAAAATTTCTGCTACCGGTTCTCCAAACTACTCAAAATTTCCATTGACCTTTCTGATCGAGAAGCTCAGTGTCTTAGCCACTGAGCCACCTAGTCAGCAATTGGAAAGCTCCTCTAATGGCCCCGGCTTTCTTCATCGGTGGAAATACAGACCCAGATCCAGTGGTGAAATCCAATTTTTTTTTACTACCGGTTCTGTGGGCATGGCTTGGTGGGCATGGCATGGCTTGGTGGGCGTGGCAGGGGAAGGATACTGCAAAATCCCCATTCCCTCCCCACTCCTGGGGGAAGGATATTGCAAAATCCCCCTTCCCTCCCCACTCCTGGGAGAAAGATATTGCAAAATGTCCATTCCCATCCCACTCTGGATGGGAACGGACATCCGAACTACTCAAAATTTCCGCTACTGGTTTTCCAGAACCTGTCAGAACCTGCTAGATTTCACCCCTGCCCAGATCCCTCCTCTTCCCCACAAGCATGGCCTAATTCTCATTCTGTACATTCTGTACTGGAAGGCTGACTACAGCAGGAGATGATTCAAGCCCTAAAAAAAAACAAAACCACTGGCTCTAACTCATATTCTGCTTATTACGGGAAGTATAAAAGCATCATCATCAATTCCATAAAAAGGCAAGCAGCCTTCACTCTGAAGTTCCCCCAAACGGCTTTGGGCATTTTCATCTAGAGCAAAGATCATTCGGGGTTGCTGACCTCCGCCACCTGATCCTCACCTGATCCTCAACTGTGAGGTCTGGGCGGGATGTGAAAGGGACACCCCCCCTCCCTGCAAACAGATAACACTCCGACTCTTTTGACCCCCGCAGTTCTGCTCCTCCCCCATGACAAGGAATTCCTGCGATGAGATGTTCTTGAATGCTGACCCAGATGAAACTTTCACTTCCCTTTTCCAGCGCTTTTCACAAGTTTTGCCCGATTGTCTGCCTAGCAACAGAGACATCCTGGAAATGTTTTTTTTTTCCCCCCCTTACTGGTTGAGCTTGGCTAGCTCTGAATTATTGCACTGTTGATCAGTGGGGGTGCCTCTTTCTTTGCCTGAGACTTCAGAGATGCGGAGCGCAGATTGAGGTTTACGGATGGCTCTGTGCTCTGTGTCCCTCTGGCGTCTAGTATTGGAGGCAGTCGTTCTGCAGCAGATGTGCTGCAGTGAGTCCCTTCTGGGATGTGAGGGGTTCAGCCTCTTTTTCTGCTGGTGGGAATCCATCCAGAAAATTATCTGTCTGTCTGTCTGTCTGTCTATCTATCTATCTATCTATCTATCTATCTATCTATCTATCTATCTATCTATCTATCTATCTATCTATCATCTCTCTCTCTCTCTCTCATTTATCTCTCATCTATCTAATCTATCAATCTAGATCAATCTATCAATATCTCTCTATCTATCCCTATCTATCTTTCGTCTCTCTCTCTTTCACTCTCTCCCTATCTATCATTCATTTCTCTCTCTCTCTAACCCTATCTCTCTATCATTCATCTCTCTCTCTCTCCCTATCTAGCATTCTTATCTCTCTCTCTATCATTTATCTATCTATATCATTTATCTATCATCTATCTAATC